GACAATGGTGGTGAGAATTAGTCACTTGTAAACTTTGGCGCTGCTTGAAACCCGATAGCTCAGCAGTGAATTCAAGAGATGCTTGTAGAAAATTTCCCAGAAGCAAGAAGAAAATCGACGTTCCTTGCACCAGAAGATGTTTAGCGACCCGAGTAAAGCCTGATAATGATCTGACCACGATCTATAGGTCATGCCATGACAATAATGTCCTTCTAAATCCCTAGTATCAACGGCTTCCAAGTGAGCAATTTGGCCCACAGTGGTTTGTCAGGTTTCCTATAGAGCACATCCAATCATAAGAATGGTATAAGCAATGGTCCCTGCACTTTCATAAATGCCATTCGCTCATATATCAGCCATCGCCATGATATTAAAGGTTGGAAATGCAATAAACTTTAAAAATTCTTATAAACTATAAGAAATTCTTGTTTTCTTTCAATTCGCATTCGCGGTCAAAGCTCAGGACGAGCGGAACGAAGCAAGAAGTGTCGCCGGTTTCGCATTGTGCCTGTCCAGAGGGTGAATACTGGAAGATAGCATGCATGTATCCTGCCGGCCAAAGAAGCTGTCAGTTTGCAAAAGCTCCATCATAAGAGACCGTAAAAGTTGATCCTAGCGAGAAGAAAACATACACTACTTCAGAGATAAACACAACATTCGCTGAAGCATAGCTTTGAGTCAGGCCATTTGCTTATTTAGGCTGACAGGAGCAGTGCGCGTCTTGGAATTAAATGGTAAAGGACCCACAGGTTCAGTTTAAATTCCCTTTTCCGCCTCAGGCATAAAGGTATCTTGTTCTGGTATATGCTTCAAATTAAAGTATTAACATTCGATGTGAAGATCAAGACAGTGTGGTCTTAGGCTTAGTATCAGTTTTTTCAAGTCATATTGTGTTCGCAAGACCTCGTTCTCGTAACTTTGCAGAAGCGACTGAGAGACCAAGTGAAAAGTACTCAGTCTTCCGTCCTCTGTCAGAGTGGTCGTAATAATTTGCAGCATCGCAGTAGCACACAATTACAACTCGACAATGTGATAAGTCATTGTAGATGATGCCTCTCACTAACGATGCCGGCGCAACCTCTCGGAATGTACAGTGTCAACAGTCCGGTGCTGGAAATTATAATGAATACTCTGACTGGAGGAGCAGGACTGAGTACACTCTATAAGGTCTCCCTTTAGCCCCTATAATGTTGCGATAAAACGCAATACCTACTAATTACTATTGGGAATTAATGCTAAAATAACTCCGAAAAAGACGCGTATAGACAGGTTTCAAAATTACATAACTTATTGAATCACAATGAATCCGAGAGCTGGAGACAGAGGGTTCCTATTACAGCTTCTATAGACAAAAAAGAGCTGTCAGACAGAGCCACCGGCCTAGCAGCGAGAAGAGGCATAAGCGAAACCCAGTTTCTCTTCGTATCTCCAAAAATATATTTGCCATTATAATCTAAGAAGTTACTTATATTCTCTGTATGTGTGTATGTGTGTGAGTCAAAGCTATCCGTAATTCATTAATAAGAACTTTCGAGAATAAGAAGTGCGTTGACCCTGTTTTCGCAACTTGGCCTTGTTGTCAGGGGGACTTAGGGGAACGCAACTAGTCTGAAGTCATCTGTCCTAGTAGTTGTCATGATTCTCAGCATCAGACAGTAGACTTGGTACATTCTTAAACGTTTCGCCGGTATCGTAATCGAAATCATTAGTGAGTTTTGCTATTCTCCGCACCAAGCTACGAACTCATCAAAGAGACAAGTGAAGTCAATCTCTCGACAAACGATCTGCAGAAAACGAGAATAAGTTAATAATGCGAACCGATGAAATGTACAAATTTAAAACTATGGCTTAAATAGTTTGTTTGCCATTACTCAATTCGCATTTCTATGGTTGATGATCCGGAGTGAATTCGGTAGTGTGATTACTGCCCACCCTTCCATGAATGTGCATTTTAATTTACGATCGACTGGAAGTTAGACTTTTTCCAAAGGACACAAAAAAACACAACAGACGGCGAATGAAGAATGTTGGTTTAGAGATGGGCAAAGTGCAAAATAGGCTATCTGACCGTCTTCCAAATGTGGCCGTCGAGCCTAAAGCCAGATGTTGATGTGATTCTCTCAACCACAGACGATTCGGATAAAGCTGTATGGCCATAGAGGTATATTGATCTGAAAATATCGAGTATGCATGAATAATGGGTAAACCAAACGGGTTTCTAATGCATGCACTCGACAAGCTTACCTCAATTCTACCAGAGTCAGGCTGGAAATCTTTGGCCGGATCCTCTGTAGTAACTCGGCACTGGATGGCATATGCATTTGACACAATCTCGTCCTGACGCAAATGTACATCAGCCAGAGATTTTCCTTCGGCCACGCGGATCTGACAACGTACCAGATCAACACTGAATTGGGTAAAGAAATTACGGAATTAGGCGAGTTGTCGTTTAGAAGGAGGATGGCGATGGAAAAGTGTAGATCATGTGCAGATAGAGTGGGGTTAACAGTACAAGCTGACATAATAATGAGCAAAATATCACTGGTCAAATACTTCAGCTTCACAAATGAGTAATATTTGCAAAGAAATCTCTAAAACGATACCCCGTTTTTCCTCATGCTCTGTCAGCCTCGGAGAGGTGATTGGACACATGCAGAAATGTTTCCGTGGCACAAATAAAAGTACTGACAGAAGAAGTGGTACAGAGTTAAGTTTACGAAGTAGTGATTAACGTATCGAGATTACATGCTGCATTAACATGGTTCGACTTCCACTGGGGGTGTAAATAAGACCTAAACGAGGTCAAAGCTGTAGTCCACTCCAGCCAGGATGAGAACAACTTTTGGAAAAGCAAAGCTATACGATATTCAATAAAAACGTAAGGTCCACTCATATGATTGTGGAAAAATTCAGCTACCAGTCATTCATCACCTCAAACGAAATAGGGTGAACACATCACAGAACAGTACTAGCCGGCGATGTGACGCGTTTAGGTGTCACTAAACCACTTACTAACCACTTACGATGATGCTTTTCATCTGCAAACTAATCTGCCTAGGCTAATTTAAATCATTGTTAGCCTCAAAGGAGTGTTAAAATAGGGCAGAAATTAAATTTTATGGTGAGTAAGGCTGTGCCATATATAGAAAGACACACGAATACAATTCAAAACATGATCATAAGTCATTCGAACAGCCGCTGAAAGTACTTTAGTTGAAAAGTTGTCTAGCGAATTCAGTTG